CCATTTAAATTGTAAGTTGGAGTCCATATTTTTCATCATAGTATAATTTAATGACGATTCAACAAATATTCGGTCCCGTGCTACTTTCTTATATTTGTAATTTGTTCATGTTTTCACAATTTATTTCATATAGATGTATATCCCAAATCTACGTTCCCAACCAATATTCTCTTGGGGGTTACAAATTCAATAGAATACAATTTTTTCTTTTCTGACCACACATTAGATGTGAAAGTGGACTTGGGGATACTCCAATGTGGGGACTTTACATGAATAAATTTCTATGTGGCAATTATCTGTACGATGGTTCCTTACCCCAGGGTAGCATAAATAAAATTTTTTAGTGGTCAAGACCAATATGGGCCCTACTCCGAAAATTTTATGCGAAGAGGTTCTCTACCCGCCTTAGAAACAAAGATGCCAAATAAGGGCCAAAAATAGAAGAAAATGGCGAAGACTCCAAAAATGGCTTAAATCATACGATGATTATTTATGATCGATATCATGACCTGCTAAAGCGATTTAAGGTATCTTAAATGTTCAGGAAGAATTTTTGGAAGGATAGAAATCCTTTTCTTACTAAAAGTCCCATTCGCTCTACTATTTTGCACCCTTTATATTTGGTATTTTACTGATTGTACTCCCAAAAATTTTTGCATTTTGAGCTCTTATTGGACGGATTATTGTCACATGAAAGAAGTAGGGCCACGCTTTGAAATAAGCCCCATTAGTCTTTTTCGGTCATTTTTGTTTGTTTAAATGTCTGCGCATCTTCCAGCTGAAGCACGATGTAGGCCCTGGAGTTGAAAGGTAGATGTCAGTTACCATCGTATTTCGCACTTATTTCATTTTTTTTGGTGAAAAATTGTATATAGTGAAAAATTATTCTTTATTTTGTTCACAAAAAATCCACTGAATTCAATATGTATTACAAATTGAAAAAATTGACAAAAGAAGAATAACAGATTGAAAAAATCTTTAACTTGTTCGCTGATTTTTTACAGCAACTGTTTAAAGATCCTTACAAAGTTTGTCAATAGAATGTACTTTTATTTTAAAATTCAATTCCATTGGAATTTTTTTTCGATATTTTCCCGTTTTGAGAATTGTTGCAATGAGATCTCTTTTTTCGTGTTTCTTTTTAACGATTTTGAAAAAGTAATTTTCTTTTAACTTTGGTGTGACCGCATTAAATTATTTCGGTATCATCTATTCCGTTTCGTCACCACATAATTCGGTACTACACTTCCATGTAACCCGTTATCAATTTCAGTTCTCAAGAAAACAAGTCAATTAAATAAATTGGTATTAATATTCGAATTCAAAAATAAAATATAAAAAACACTACAAATGTACATTAGAAAAAAGTAAGTCAAAATGGAAAAAATCATGCAAAATAAAACATTACTATTGTACATTTCAAAAGTCAAAATGAAAATGTTAACATACCACATTTTTAAGCGATTTTTTTGGATATTATCCTTTTCGGATAAGAGACAATTCCGAATTTGTATGAATCATTAAAATCAGTTCAGCGGTTCTAAAGTTATAAGCGTAGTAACTAACACAACTTTCATTTATATATATAGATGTTTACACCCTGCAACACTATGTGTTGGGGGTATTATAAGTTTGATTGGGCCAAAAATTATGTAACACCACGAAATATTGGTTTCCCACATAGGAAAGTATATATGGGTCTTCCTATCTCACCGAGCTGAGTCGATCTAGCTATGTATGTTCGTCCGTCCGTCTGTCCGTCTGTCCATGTTAATTTGTAATCACTCTACACGTCGTAATTATGGCCCGATCTTCACGAAATTTAGAATGGAGGTGGGGCTAGGGTCTCAATAGAACCCTATTTCTTTTGGAGATGACCGCATAATATTTAGTGGTTGAAATGGACCAAAAACAGAAAAAATCCTGATTTTGCAGTTGCTCTACAGGCCGCAATTATAGACCAATCAAAGCGGAAGTTACCATGGGGCTAGAGCTTAGGGCAAGGCAGAAGCCTTCCAATTTTGATGGTCATCGGGTAATATTTAGTGGGTGAAATAGGCCACAACATTTGTGTTTAAAAAGTTAAATTTTGCATTAAACCGCGAAGATTTTAAATCCCGGCGAAATCGGAAATAGACGAACAGGTCAGTTCTGACCGTTTCGTAGATGCCGATAATAAATATATCGGTTATATATAGCGAAATATATACAATGTGTATATACAAAGGAAGGGGATGTTATTTAGAATGTTTATATCTCATATAGGTGAGCCTAAATTTGGAGGTATAGGGGCTTCTTGCTTTTGGAGATGATTGCAAAATATTTAGGGGTTCAAATTAACCAAAAACAGAATTTTTTTTTACGATCACACAATAGAAGCTAATTGACACGCCTGTGGCGAGAGTTAGGGACAGGGAAGAATTCCAGCATTTTGGATGACCATTGGATTATATTTAGATCTAAAATGGACTACAACAACTAACAGCCCGACGGAGTGCATAAATATTGGCAAATCTTCGAATATGGATTTGGACATAAGGGGGCTTCTAACATATTGTAGTGTCGTAGGGTAAAACATAGTCGGCCCCGCACGACTATAGTCTTGCTTACTTGTTTGAAATAATAAAATGCGACTAAAAAACGTTAAGTTCTGGCTGGCCGTAAGGTAACGAAAACATTTTAAATACACCTTCTGGATTCAATAAGCCGCTATTAAAGTTTTCTAAATATCGGGTGGTACTGTTATATGGAAACAATGTTTTGATACTAGTGATAGAAAACCATACGGAATTTTAAAGAAATCCATTATCTGGAGATACTGCTATATAAAGGGCTTTGGAATGATGTGGACCTCTAAAGACAATATTATGCTACAGCAAGTAAAACTCTCTACAAACTCCAAATACTAAATAATATATTTGTATTACATTATACTCATTTTTGTGTATTTTTATACCCTCAGACATATGACTATATACCATTTGATAAGACCAAAAACGTGGCTCATCGAAATAACGGTTTTTGACCGTGGTTCTCTTTGAACCAAATCCGTTTCAGGGCATTTGAAGGCGAACTAGGGGTGTACGTCCGTCTGTCACCTAGCTGGTGAGCACGATTAATCTAAAAGGATGTACACGTATTGCTCCAAACTTGGTACATCGTAAAATTATTTTCAGACTTAGATCGAGTTCGGGAATGGAAAATATCGGTCCACTCCTTCTGGTAGCATCCGCACAAAACGTCAAAATTTTCATTGATCACCCAAAACTTTGTAAATCAAAATGTTTTATCAGTCCTAGGTCAGGTGCAAAAAGTGATAATTTCGCCCAATAAATACACCAAAAAAAAAAAAGTAAGCAAAGGCTATAGTCGTGCGGCACCGACCATTTGATACCCTACAACACTACAACATGTTAGCAGCCCTCTTATGTCCAAATCCAATTTGTAAGATTTCGCTTTTGAAATTATGTCACGGAGCACTGCCCAGATATTACCCCTAGCATTTTGACCAGGGACATTTGCCCAATATTTACGCACTCCATCCGGCTGTTAGTTGTTATGGTCGATTTTACAGCTAAATAAAATCCAATGTTCATCCAAAATGGTATAATTCTTCCCTGTTCCTAACTATCTTCTCAGGCGCGTCGATTGGCTTCAAATGTGTGATCAGAATTTTTTTTTTTGTTTTTGGTTCATTTGAACCATTAAATATTTTGCAAGAGGCCACTCTGTATCTCCAAATTTAGACTCATCTATATGATTTGCTTGTCTACGATATTTAACTATATTCGTCAACGAAATCAGCATAAAAAAACTAGAAGTTCACCTTTTCTCTATTTCGGATATAGCCTGTAAGTAATAGTGCTCCATTCTGCCCGCTGTCCTAAACTCGAACTTCATGCGAGATTTCGTGTCCTTTGCTTTATATTTGTGACCTTTATAACGGCTGAAAAATCGGGAACATTTTTAGTTGTTTGTCCATTTCAACCCCTAAATGTATTGCGGAAATCTTTGAAAACAATAGGCATAGCCCTTCTGCGCCTAACCCTACCCTTGTGAAAATTTTCGTCAGGAACGGGCGATAATTGCAATATGTATATAATAACCCTAACCTGTGTTGTAAGGTGAAAAAATATTATTGAACAAATCACAATTGGTCAATTAGTCATCGCTTTACTATTTTATATAAAATTGAAAAGCTGTATAGAGAATGTTTTCTACATTTTAGGTAATATTACACCAAGACCCATCTCTCATGTGATGGATTTCATATAAGCTAAATGAGTTAAAAATGTCTGAAAATAAGGTTTTACCTATTACTTTCACCTTCCTGCAATTCCATTACATTCATTTCCTTTCGTCCGTCCCTTTTTGCACTTCCATTACCATTCGTAAAACCAATCACGTAAAGGGTACGTATACTTAACATTCATTCTCATACGCACCCATTACCCCAAGTGTTTTTGAAAGTTTTTTTCCGCCAAGTTAATATTTATGGCTCATTGGATAATTGCTAATCATTTACTCCATATACGCTGCTCTTATCTAAATGCAATGACCCATTAACTTACCAAACTTTTGGGATTTTTTGCAAACAATAAATTTAATTGGGTTAAAAAAGCTGCGATTTAACGACATGCTTTCAAAGGCATTCATTCATTTAGACCATTTAACAAAGCAACAATGTTTTATGTTATCAAATTGCCACAGTTGTTGGTTATAAAAAAAATCAACGACAAACTCCCAACTCGCCGAATGGAGAACAACAAAAAACATAACCTTAGTTCCTGACTTTATGCCAAATTCCTTGGGTCGCCGGTTTAAGATTTTTCTTCTGCACCATTGTATTTACGATAAAGCCGAACCAAACAGAACGGCAAAAGGAAATCATAATTCTTTTTCTTTAATTTCAACAAATAAAAAATGTATTCATTTTATTTATGGTTATTATTGTTATTTTTACTCTGGCCTTCTTGTGTTGCCTTTTTTTCTTCTTGCAGAATTTCCTGATAAACGACCCCAGCTATTTACGGACCATACACGATATGAGCCGGGTGATGTATTGCGTGCTAACTGTAGTACGCCACCATCTCGGCCAAGAGCTGAATTAAGATTTACGATAAACAATATACCGGTAAGTAACAAAAGCTAAACAAAAAAATCCGCATTGAAGCTAAGAAAAAAAATAGTTCAGAGAAATATCATATGAGAACACATTGGAGAAAATATTCAATTTTCACGCTGTATTGCATCGAAAAAAAATTTTGAATTGTTTCAATTCTTCAAAAGGTGTTCCTTGCTAAAATATTTAAAAGATGAGTTGATAAAAGTTTCTAAAATTATTTTAATCCTCAATGTTTCCCAAATCCTCCTACACTCTTAGAAATATTTTTCAAGAAAGGCGAAGATTGAAATCCAAGAGTTACGCGATGTTGTAACAGTAACTAACTAACTACTACAGTTAGAAATAATCTTAAAAAAGATCTTTACAACTACAACGCTACAATATGACTACAACGCTACAATATGTTAGAAGCCCCCTTATGTCTAAATCAATTTTAGAAGATCTGGCGATCTTCTCCAAAATCAAGAGGCCCCTCTGTATCTCCAAATTTAGACTCATCTATATGATTTGCTTGTCTACGATATTTGGTTCGCTTTTTGTGTATTTCGGATATCGCCTGTAAGTAATGCTTGTATTTTTTCACACAAAAGTCGCTGACCTAAACTCAAACTTCATGCTAGATTTCGTGTCCTTTGGTTTATATTTGTGACCTTTATAACGGCTGGAAAAACAGGAACATTTTTGATTGTTTGTCCATTTCAACCTCTAAATATATTGCGGTCATCTTTGAAAACAATAAGCCTAGCCCTTCTGAGCCTAACCCATGGTAGAATTAAGAAGATAAAGACGTGCAATCATATGTTTACAATTTTTTCAAAAATATTCATTTGACAACATCTCATTGTAAAAATGTTTGTTTATAAATTCAAATCCGAGATGGGAACCTGTTTTTTTGCAGTGAAATTTGACAAGGTAAATTACAGAAAATACAAAGATGGGAATGCTTATTTGAAATGACTTTACCTTCTTAATTTTACCATACAACCCTACCCTTATGAAAATTTTCGTGAGGATCGGACGATAATTGCAATCTGTATATAATGACCCAACCTGTGTTGTAAGGTGAAAAAATATTACAAAATATTCACTTCAATATTATAAGTCAAATTGAAAAAATCGCCTGCGATTAAAAATATGAAAAAATAAAAAAAAAGTCACAAAATACTACAAAATCTATATTAACATCATTATTGGCATCTTTTCATGCGATTTTACACTTTTATGCCAAGAGGGCATTCTGTATTGACAAAATTTGTCAAAATCGGTCCAGCCATTCTTGAAATATGAGCATTCTAGCTAACATACCCTTTCTATGTATATATGTATTGTACATATTTTGCTATATATATCAGATATATTTACTATCGGCATCTTCGTAACGGTCAGAATTGACCTGTTCGTCGATTTGTGATTTCGCCGGGGTTAAAAAAATCGCGGTTTAATGGAAATTTTGTCTTTTATTTAACACAAACGTTATGGTCTATTTCACCCACCCGATGACCCAGCCCTAAGCAGCATACCAGGTTAGGTTAGGTTGAAAAGAGGGTTGAAGCAATTCGCCGCATGCCCTGTTGGGTATACATTTAAGCCAGTATAGGCCTGTTGTGCGCTCTAGACTAAGGTTTTTTTTTTTTTTTGAAGAAGGCGGGCAGTTTACAGTCTGTTATATTTGAAATTCAGTTGCCTTTATGAAATTTCTTAACTGTCTTATATCATTTACCATGGTTTGATTAAGGTCTGGTATGGAGGCGTTCCCTAAGAATTGGAATCTGAAATTTGCAAACGCTGGGTATTGGCAGAAAAAATGTTCCAAGGTTTCGTCATCTTCCAACCCCATGCATATGCTGTTTTCTGCACATCCTATCTTGTACAGATGAGCTTGTAGGCCCGGGTGCCCCGTACGGATGCCTGTTACCTCACTAATCTCTTTTTTACCTAGTAATAAAAGGTTTTTCGTTTTCATCTCATCGGGATCACCCCATAAGATTTTTTTGGTTTTCCCTACACCCTCATTGTTCCATTGGGATATGTGGGCGTTTGTTGCTCATATCTTTAACGCTAGACGTGACGCATTAAGTGGCACTGGATTGTCTACGTTTATTGTTGGTAATTCCCTGCCTGTTTTGGCGAGAGAGTTTGCTATCTCGTTAGCCCTAACTCCCGTGTTGAGAGTAGTTGTTGATTGATACTAACTTTCGCGTCGATTGGTCTATAATTGCGACCTATCGAGCAACTGCAAAATCACGATTTTTTAGTTTTTGGTGCATTTTAGCCCCTAAATACTATGCGATCATCTCCAAAAGTCCTAGCACCACCTCCATTCTACGTTTCGGGAAGATCGGGTCATAATTGCGAACTGTAGAGTGATTACAAATCAAACATGGACAGACGGGTTTTAAAATTACGCCAAAATTTTCCATAATTCGTTGATTTTTGTCGAATGTGTTTAAGGGAAAAATATTCTATAATCTAGATCAAATTAAACGAAATTTGTAAACTTTCGACAATTTTTATGTTTTATTAATTCCACTTGTATTTATATAGGACCATTTGTTTTCAGAAATTTTCGATTTTTTCAAAATTTTATTTTCTGTCATTGCCAGTGAGAGGAATAGTTTTCCATTTCAACCTTTCCCCAACAAACAAAGACTTGTCCCAAGACAAATCTCAAAATTTCTCACCGTGTACGACGACATTTTAAAACCAATTTATGTGTAACTGATATGGAAAAGCTTAAATAAGAGCAATGTGTTGGCACACATTTTAACCGTTGTGTAAAATATTTTCAAGTTATGGAATGGCATTCCTCATAAGAAAAGATGAAATTTGCTAAACATACAATATATATGCTGTTCGTTGTGTAACTCTGTAAGTTTATGTGCTACCAGAATTATGTACCAAGACAAAACACACACAGTTTTGTCTTGGTACATAATTCTAAATACCCAGTAAACAATTTTTGCCGAATTCTGTCCGAGTTCTTCCAGAATCCCTGAAAAGATGTCCGATTCTAATTTCGAATTCCTTCCGATTTCGGTACGAAAGTTGTATGGACGTGGTCACCCAATCCGAATTTTCGGAAAAAATATTCGATTTTCTGGACGAATTCGGTCCGGATTCAGTGAAAATTCTTGGAAAAGTAGAAGAAAAAATTAGATGTTCGGAAAAAAAATAGGTCAGAATTTGGAAGGAAATTCGGCCAGAATTCCAAAGAAAATGAAAAAAATCGCTCAGAATTCGGGAGAAAATTCAGATTTTCTGAAAGAAATCGGTCAGAATTTGGAAGAAAAGTCTGAAAAAATAACAACTACTATGGGAGAGAATGTAGCAAAACACCACCATTCGTTTTCATGTGGGAGAGAACATGCCAGAGCAATAGACAGTCTACTCTCCGTTTGGATAGGAAAATGTGCAGAAATTCTTAAAAAAACGTTTAGAAAATCTGACCAATTTCTAGCAGAAAATTCTGAAAAAAAGCCAGAAATTTCGGAAAAAATCTTAAATCAGAGCAGTCGGAAAAAATTGTTTACTGGGTATGTACATTAATACACACGCACATACGGCGTAAGATTCATATATGCACAAATTTGTGTAAGTGTGCATATAGCATGCTTTACACATTCGAAAAATGCTATTACATAATGACAGACTATAAATTTTACAGTTTTAAAATTGTTATTAATTGCTAATTAACGATACGAGACTATGATTAATAGTTGTGTAACATGTTACAAAGTCATGAATAAGAGCAACTATTTACACATACACACTCACATCCACAGCTTTGATTTATACAATAGTAGACGTTTATATAAATTGCATGTGGTGTTGTAGAATGAATACTGAAAGGTAAAATTTGATTCCGGATGTATAGGAAATCTAACAAGTAAAAAAGCAGTAAGTTCGGCCGGGCCGAACTTTGAATGCCCTACACCATTTGGAACGAATTAGAAAATTTTCAAAAAAAATAAATCCAATAAAAATTCTTTTAAAATCTTTAAAATATCTAATATAGGAAGGTGCCTATATATGGGGGGATATACGATATTGTGGACCTATAAAGACAAATCTATGTCTGCGTATAAAGTACCCACAAGGAACTCCTTGTATGGATTTTCAGATAATTCCATTGGAAAAAGTGGCTAAAATCGTCAAAATACCGAATATAGGGGAGTACCGTTATATGGGGGCTATACGATATTGTGAACCTATAAAGATAATTCTCTGCCGAGGTATAAAGTACCCACAAGGAACTCCTTATGTGGATTTTCAGACAATTCCGTTGAAAAATGTGGGTAAAATCATCAAAATACCGAATATCTGGGGGTACCGTTATATGGGGGCTATACGATATTGTGAACTTATAAAGATAGTTCTTTGCCGAGGTATAAAGTACCCACAAGGAACTCCTTAAGTGGATTTTCAGACAATTCCGTTGAAAAATGTGGGTAAAATCATCAAAATACCGAATACCGGGGGTACTGTTATATGGAGGCTATACGATATTGTGGACCTATATTGATAATTCTCTGCCGAGGTATAAAGTACCCACGAGGAACTACTTGTGTGGATTTTCAGACAATTCCATTGAAAAATGTGGCTAACATCATCAAAATACCGAATATCGGGGGTACCGTTATATGGGGGCTATACGATATCGTGGACCGATATAGCCCATCTTCGAACTTGACCTGCCTGCAGACAAAAGAGAGATCTGTGCAAAGTTTTAGCTTCCTATCTTAATTCGGACGGACAGGGCTAAATCGTCTTAGAATTTTACGCTGATCAAGAATATATATACTTTGTTGGGTCAAAAATGATTATTTCGATGAGTTACAAACGGAATGACGAACTTAATATACCCTCCATACCTTTTTTGGTGGAGGGTATAAAAAGAAGTAGGCATATAGAAAGTTGTACATCCAGTATATTTATAGAAACTTGTCCGTGTCTAAACTTTTTAGTACCCACTTACTGAAAGGCGGGCGAAACTAGGATTATGATTTAAA